TGAATAGTGTGTAGATGTTGTTTATCTCTATGTGCCTGTTGATGGCTGCCTTGTCTGAATACCAAGCTTCCAGGAATTCCCTCGCAAAAGACCAGAATATCTCCTCACCAGCAATCATGATAGTTGTGTTCTCCTTCACTGTCCCTTTTTCATTATTTGGACCCAAGAGTTTTGCTCTCTTTTGCAGAAGCTGCAAAAGCCATTAAAAGGGAGACTGTGTTTTGCACCTGCTGAAAGTTTTAGAAAAGATGGTTCTCATATGTCACAGACAGAGATATTCTCTCTTCTGCTAAGCTCTAGTTGTGGAATTTGCTACCTCGATGCCTCTTTAGGGACTGTTCTCTGGTGCTTGAATTGAGTGAAGCAAGGAAAGCTCCATTTTAGTTGTCTTTTTGACAACTGTGAAAACATTTTTATTCAGACAGTCTTTTTTATTTTAATTTGCTCTAAATAAAATTTAATCTGGTGAATTTCCTTTTTTAAAAAATGTGAAGTGTTGTTTATCATTACCAAACTCTGTTTTCTCTATCTGCAACTCTCTGTGCATAAATTGCAAGCAAGTAGAAAAAATTGGTTCATTCAGACTTGTTTTTTTCTTTGTACTTTTCAGCTTGACATTAGCAAAACGCCATCTGATTGGCACTGATCTTTCTGAATCATCTTGTTATAAATTAATGAAAAGAAATGTTATTGTGCTATTTTGATACTCAAAACACAGGCGGCATTCTGAGCCACGACTTCCAAGGAGCTCCATTGGTTCTTGCTTGCTAAGGAGCATTTATTGTATGATTACAGTGAGTGACTCACCTCCAAAGGACATTGTGCTACGTACACATATGAAAGGGACCTGTCAACAGCCCACGGAGCTGCTCTTTTTTTAAAGAGGAGAAAAGAGAAGCAGTTTTAAATTCGCCATGCACTCAAATGCTTAAGAATATAAAGCTTGTTGGAGAAAGAGAGCTTTATTTCAGCAGAGCGGGGAGAGAATTTTAAAGGCTCCTATTCTGAAGAGATTTGGCAGATTTGTTATTGATGTACGTATAAGAAGTGAACGAAATGTGTGTATGTATCCATACACTTCCTACAGTTGAACATACTTCACAGCAAAATTGTTGAGTGCTATAAACAATAGAATCTCAACAGCTGGTTCAGAATGGAGTGGCACAAGCAGTAATGGACACTTCTCAGCATTGGTTACCAATTGACTTCCAGGTGCAATTCAAGGTGCTGGTTGTTACCTATAAACTGCTTCATGGTGTAGGTCCTGGTATTTTAAGGGACTGCCTGTCTATTCATTTTTGCCCATCAAGGGTGTTCACACGGAACGGGTTCGCTCCAGGTCCCATCAGTTAAATGGTATCATCTTATGGGACCCAGGAAGCATGCCTTCTTTGTTGCTGTCCGTACCCTCTGGAACAGCATCCCCCTGGCACAGTTCCCACTCTCCTTGGTTTCTAGAAGTCTCTTAAGACCAGGTTCTCTTCCCAGGCCCTGAGTTAGGGTGTTTGTGGAGCCCCTGTTGAGTTTTTCTTGCATGTTGGGGAGTGTTGTTTTGGTCCAGACAGTGGTGGGGTTTTTAGGTCTCTTTTCAACATAGGTATTGTTCCTGTTGTATGCCACCCAGAGCCTTCTTGGAGTTGGACGGTCTTAACAGATCCAATAAAATAATAAATAATTAAATTCTGTATTCTGAAATTCAAAAAAAGTTTTAGTTTTTTAAAATTTTGTATAAATAAGGCTATTAGTGATGCATATTTATTCTGAATATTTATTGAATTAGGAATATCTACACTGAAGGGAAATACCAGTTGTAACATTTGTCTTCCATACTGCTCCATCACTGTTCCTTCTTTTTCTCATAGGTATGTTCTTATTATAAAACCACCTAAGATTTCCCTTCTGGACATCTTCTCTATTCCTATGTGTTTGTATATCTAAATTCATACCTTCACAGTGCTGAAAATTCATGTGTTTGAAATTCACATTTCAAATTAAAAAATAATTTAAAATGTCATCTAATTAAAATAGTCACAGAAGTGAATTGATATCTTCTACTGGAATTATTTTTATGCAAACACATGCAAGCTCATACACTGTATTTTGTGTTTGGTGTTAAAAAAATAAGCACAACATAATTTTTTTTACCCCTTTCCTTACTTCAATTGTGATTTAGCTTTTTGAGTCATGATCCTCTCCTTTCTCTGCTGTGGCTTCTTTCTGCTCCTTAAGCTCTATATTTTTCACTTTCCATCCTACCTTGTATCATTCTTT